GGGAGGGAGGGGTGCACAGCGGAGAACTCCAATGATCCTAACAGAAATGTAAATAAATATAGTTTGGTCACTTAAGATTTTATTCGTGATTAGCAGAAGCCATGGATTAGTGTGGCCACATCCATGAGAAAACGCTTTACGACAACACAAAAAAGGAGCTGAAATGTAGACCTGCGGGCGTGGCCCCCGACGCGCCCACCCTCCGGACAAACCTCCGTCAGGTGGCTCTGGTGTGTTGCGTGTAGTTTAAAAAATAAAAAGTCACATTTTTAAAAGAAACTGTTAAAAAGATTATATATTATCAACAAAGAAAAGATAACTAAATAGGATCTAATAGATATCAAGGTGGAAATACATGGCATTGCCTATGACCTAACACATCTGGATAATTTAAGAAAGGCGACCAAGAGGTCTGTAGTCAGCTCTCAGGGGTCTCAGTCTTTTTTTGTCTCCCATGCTTTTGCCATACCTCCTCTTGGAATGCTCACAAACGGGCCGTTCAAGTCCTGATGGTGTGTTAAGTCTTCAGGCTTGGAGCTGAAATGTTAGTGTGTGTTCTGGGGTGAGTAGCTGCGTTATCTATGGATGCCGTTAACGTGTCGAGGGGTGCGACTCGGTGTGTGTCTGTGTGTGCGTGTGTGTGTGTGTGTGTTTCCACGTGTGGGAGATGGATCAGGACGCGGCCAGGGCCTTGACCAGGTACAGTTTGTCTCCCTGCTCGCTGGTGAAGATGGGGGCCTTTTTGTAGTGTTCGACAAGCTCCTCCATGGAGTTGAACTTGCGCTGTCCAATGCAGTAAAGGCTTTCCTTCAGCTGCACCTTGAAATGCTTGTTCTTGCTCTGCGCCTTCAGGGAGATGGAGAAGTCGTTTGGCTGAAAAGGGGGAGAGAAGTGGGGGTTATAGTGCAGCGGCCAATAACGGGTCAGTGCGTGGCTGTGTGTGTGTGTGTGTGTGGGGTCACTGACCGATGACTCGCTGTCCCGGATGAGGAAGTCTCCCTCGGTGCCCCTCTGGTTGAGCGCCACCTCGGCCTGGTGGCGCGTCACCTTCCCGTAGTACCACTCCTTCCCGGCGAAGCGGCCGCTGCCTGACGGGGAGATGTAGTCGCAGTCGGGCGTGGGGGGCCCCGCCAGCCCTGCTGGGGGTTTGTGGGAGCTGGAGTCCAGCACATTGACGTAGTTCTTGGGCACCAGGCCCAGCTGTCCGTCGGCCTTGCGGCACTTCCACCACTCGGGGTCGTTCTCGGGCTTCTCCACCACCTCCATCACCTCGCCCTTCTCAAAGTTCAGCTCCTCGTCGTTGCCCGAGCTGAAGGGGTAGAGCGCCTGCACCGTGTGCAGCACGCGGTTCCCGTTGGTGGTGCTGTTGACCACCGCCGCCAGCTTCTCCGTCAGCGATCCGGCCGGGTCGCCCACCCCGAGCACGCAGCCCCCCGCCTTGCCGTCCACGTCCTCCGTCACGTAGTTGGAGGGGAACCAGCCAGAGCGCCCGCCGTAGCTGACGCGCCACCAGCCGTCGCTGCACTTCTCCAGCACCACCACGCGCATGCCCTTCACCAGCGACAGCTCGTCCTCGCGCTCCGCCGTGTAGCTGAACTTGACCAGGGCGGGCAGGTTGAGGTCGTACAGCCGCTCGCCGTTGTCGGTGCTCATATTCTCGGCGTTGGAGGACTTGTCCCTCATCTCTGGCACTTTTCTGTTCTTCCCAATTCCTAAGAAGGAGAGAGAGAGGAACGAGAAGAGGTGTTGTGACGTTTTCAGAGATTAGACACGGACAGCAAGAAAACAAAAACAAAAGAGGAGTGAAGGGCATCTTTAAACCTGAAGCCTTCTCCCATCATTCCACTGAGCTCGGCAAGTCTCAACAGAAAAACAGGAACCACCAGCCTGATAAAAACACCCCAAAAATCCAGGAGAACAAAAATGAGACAAATACCAGGAATAATGCGTGTTATGGGCTGTGGCGAAACAGAGGGAGGGCTGAATATCCCGCTGTCCACATCAGCCTGCACTAAGCCCGCCCCACACTCCTAATCCAAATACATTCTTGGGGATTAGACCTAGGTGCTGAGGAAACAACGGGGGGAAAAAAAAGAAAAAGGACTGCCGGTGTGGTGAGGAAAGGAAAAGTCAGTGAGTGGGATGAAAACTTGTTTTGGCACTGGCCTGCAAATCCTGGACACAAAAAAATATGTTAAGTGGTTCTTATTGAAGCTCTGCGACCCAACATTGAATTAACATGTTACTCAAACTCTGAGACTAAAGGGTCAGCCACATTTCTTTGCTGAACAAGTCGCTCTAATCACCTGCTAACCATTTCAGATTCATTTCAGACCCAGCAGTATGCTGGCGGCTGTATGAAGTCCGAGTAGCCAGCAGAGGATGCTGAGATCATGCTTCCACGCTGCTCTCCAGGTGACTACACGGCAGCTAAATGCTAGGTGTAGGGTGTCTACAGCACTGTTCTGTAATCCGTCTGACTGGTGATGCAGACGGAGCGGGCCTGGGCCGAGGCTGACCAGTGGCTGACCAGCGGCTGATGCCGGTCTGCGCGGGTTTAAGCTGGGACCCCTTTTCTGATTACGTTTGCAGGGCTATCTGCTTGCATAATCAAAAGACAGCTGGCTGAAATTACACAGTAAGGCAGGGTGGAGTCTCCTGGATGGTGCTGGGAGGACGGCGTGCGTTTTTTTTGTTGTTTTTTTTCCCCCCATCTGCGTGGGCAACGTGAACATGCCTCACCACGGATAGGCCCTTTACTGAAAGGTGCCTCTGACTCAAGGAGAGCAGACAAATTTCACGGTAGCGCTGAGAGGCCAACGTCAAATTGCTTCCAGGTAGACCCTGTTATTAGTCGCACCACTGCGCGTAAGTACAGACTCCAGACGGGGTGTTAAGAGCCGATGTCTGTAGGGGAAGGTTAGGTTAGCGCAGATGCTAGTTAGGCACCTCTGCAATCATATCGGCTCAAAAGAGACCAGGACAACTTGCAGATTTTTGAGAGGAAAAACAAAAACATCTTCCAAAAACTTGAGGAGGGGAGAAAAAAAAAAATACAGGCAGAGCAGAATATTTAGTTTCCATGCGCATGATAACGAAACAGACGGGTCAGGCGTGTGCGACATCCAGGATGTGTCAAAGCAGCACCGCTTTGTCTCAAACAAACGGGCGGAGAAAAGCATCTTTTAGCTCCGGCTGACAGACGCACAACAGAGGTTGTGTTTTATCTCTCTGCCCAGGTAACGCTGCCCTTATCAGTGTCCCTGTCAGGGATTTTTTATTTGCCGCTTCCTGCTACACTGACATGAGCACTTTGCATTAAAAAAGCAGTTCCACTGCATTTGACTAGATGCTCAATCTGCACCGGGGTAATAATGTTGAGTTTGTATTCACATGTACTGTTTTAGATAGATGACGAGCAGATAAGGCTGTTACAGAGGTCTGTCTGTCCTGCGGTCATGGGTCAATCAGAAGATTTAACCTGACCGCTGGGTTGAAGAGCTGTGAGTTTGCACTTCCTTTGGCAGCTAAGCGGAGATTGTATCTCCGAGTCAAAACATAGAAATTAAAATGACTTCCACTAAGGCCGCGGTGGACAGGGAGCAGCTGCGTGCGGCTAACTGTGAGAGGGACAGCAGCGCTTCCTCATTATTCTGACGGTTCACTGAACTGTTGGGCTTTTAGCTTCAATATTTACAACTTTAAAAATCATGAACTCTACAGGAAGTCCAGAGAAGTCATGACAACGAGGTAATGACATCGTGTTCGGGGAAGGTTTCGTTAAAAAAAACAGGATCAGTGCATATTACGAGCCCTGAAGCCAGTTACACCTTTACCAGAAGAGAAAACTGACATCTAGACAAATGCAATGCAACAAAAATACTAAATTCATAGCTCAGAAATCTGACATGTTTCATTTGGCAGAAAACCGTTTCTCTGTTGTTTTTTTTAGACTTGTAACCCATTGACAATTGGGAGCAGCAGACAAAAAGGTAGGAAACTAAAAATAAATGTCCTCCTTCCTTTAAATCCTCTCAAGCTGCCTTTCAGTGGCCGCGCTCAGCCCTTCCTCCTGATGTTTTCCCTCAATGCAGGCACATATACGGCGCAGTATTATGCAGTGAGCGGTATTTTCAGTTCCCCCTGAAAACCGCAGTTGGCGTCGGCGCTCGGCTGCTACCTGGGGAAACCGGCAGCCAGCTGCGTGCGTTGGAAACTGCTCTGGAAACGAAACACTCTTTTTCCGGCACGTTTCCTGAGCGAGGGATGTGGAGGAGGAAAATTACACTGAATCAGGTGGTTGTAAATCACAACGAACCAAGATGGGGGAGCATAACATGGTAACCATTTACCGCTAAGTTACACCAACAGGGAGAGAAAAAAGCGTTTCAGGGGTTTGTTCAGCTACCAGTGACATACAGGAACTAGTTTTCCTTCTTAACTCTGGCCTCCCTACGCTCGCTGGCCGGCTCGCTGGCCGTCCATTGTCTGCCAGGGCCCTTTCGACCCCTCAGCTTCCCTCCATTCCAGGGCTCTTCCTTTGTGGACGACAACACCCCGCGTCAGGCTGTCTGACAGTTCTTCGCAGTCATTCCTCTGCTGTGACAGAGTGCACACTTTTACCAACAGCCAGTTAAAGAAATAGCACTCTGAAACAGGCCACAGTTTCATCCTCTGATGCAAATCTTTTAAATGATGACCATGAAGTTATTGTCACCCGTTGACGGACGCTTAGGAAACGGACAGAATGTTGACAGGAATTCAAACTGGCCGGTAATGGAAAACAGCCGCGTGGTTTTGTAGGAGGCATGGGCTCCTAATGTAATGACAGCATGTTCAGAGTCCAAGCCAAAGGCAAAAACGCACAAATGTGAGCTGGTGTATTTTTGGTTGGGGCTTTCCTTTTAGACTACAGCTTCAATCACACCGCTGACGTGGATGACAGATACGCAGGAAATGTGCAAGGTTCTTTCAACTTCAGCCATCGCAGACATCAAAAGCAGGCAACCGTCTATCTATGTGATGGAAGAGCAAAGAGAGGGGGGGGGGGGGGGGGGAACAGATCCCCAAAGTTCTGAACTGAACAACGGGACAGTCAGGAGACGCTTTAAATGAAACTCCGCTGAAAAGTTTGAGCGGCTAGTAATATAAAAAGAAAAAAATGAAGCCATTAGATCCACCCTTTCTACATGGAAACAAGACCATAACAAAGATTATTATGAGTCGCATTAACAGCGGTAATGTTGACAGGGATAAAAAAAACAGGCCATAAATGTATTAAGACTTCATTCTTAAGCTTAAAATGCTTTGACCAACTTTTTAAAGCAGCTCTGGAGTGATGGCGCTACCCATCACCATTTTTCTCACACTGATGTTTCTCTCCATGTAACTTTTTAAAGGAATCATTTTCGTTTTTCAAGCCCCCCGCCCCCTGCCCCCCCCTGGCCCCATTTGCCTAAATTTTCAAGTACTTTGTATTCAGTGACAACAAGTGTTTCAAAGTAAACTGTACCTACTAATAACAACAACAATAAAAAAAAAGTAAAGAAGCCACACAGGACATTCAAACCCTTTTTTAAAGGATTTGTTCCAACAAAAACACTATGATTGTCTGATAATCTTGATACAAACTGTTGGACCAATAAAGCTAAAGACTCCATGTGATGAGAATTACTCGATCTTCATCTTGTAGGATACTATATCATCTGAAACCCTTCTGGTTCCAATGGGGCAGAGCAGTACACGTCCATGTTGTTGTCCATCAACATGTTTACGGTCCTGGCTACTGTTAAACAAGCCCAGACCACTACTCACTTCCTCTGACGGGAGGAGGCGGCAGCCACACAAAGAAGGCATCTTTTTAAGAAGAAAAGCGACATGAGCTTAGGTGACACCGTCATTTCTTCCACTGGTCTCCTAACTGGGATTTAAGTCATTGGTTTGTGTGGTTCCACAGAAGAAAGGCGAGGGGTTTCGGGAAGAGAAGCGGGAGCTGGGAGCGGGGGCAAAAGACTGCCAGAAAGTCCAGCAGACAGCCTGTGCGCCGTGATTCAACTTCCTTCTAACTTCACACTTCCTCTCGGGCCTGCACTCCTCCAAAAGCTCAGAGAGAAATGTGGCTCAAATTAGAGTTTCCGCTCGCTGGGGAGGCTGAGAAACAGGAAAACAGAGGGAGGGGAGAAAGAGAGACCAACAGCTCTCAGTTTACACAAGCAGAAGGTTTGTTAGCTCATCTATGTCTTTTTATCCCTTTACACTCAGGATCCTTCGGACGACAAGCAGACCACTCGCCGGCACACACACACACACACACATACACACAAACACAAGGTCACAAGTGGAGAAGATAGACAAAACCAGGAGATACCGCTCAGCAGCTACAAGGTGAGATTACAGCAGGGCTGTGTGCCAGGGCCTGTTTAAAGAGTGTCAGTGTGGCTGTTAAGTGTCCCCGACCAACAGAGCTTCACAGGTAATGACATTCCTGTGATAACTCAGAGAGGTGGAGGAGATGGAAGCCCAGGCCCCCATCAATCAGCAAGGACCCCTTCCTCCTCCAAGCACAATGACCACAGTGTTCTACATGAGCACCCCATGTCTCCTCAACTGTAGCTCACGGCTAGCTTTTGGGTGTGTGTGTGTGTGGGGGGGGGGGGGTTCCCCAGAATGGGTAAGTTTGCCTCAGGGCAGCATAAAGAAAGCGTCTACAGATATTCCTAAACAGGCTGGAGAGGTGGGGTCTTCAAGCATGATAATGTAATCCACCAAGTTGCAGCCCACTCAGCAAGACCAGAAAAAATGAAGTAGGATCACTGTGTGAGTGTGAGTGTGTGTGTGTGTGTGTGTGTTGAAAAGACAGAGAGAGATTGCTGGGGCAATTACAGGCTTCGGCTCAGCAGAAGGCTTTTCAAAAGCATATCCACCCAGTCTTTGCAGCCGCTCGCACAGATGCCGCCTCAAAGGCAGCCGAGACCCCCTCTCACCAGCTCCCTGCCAAAACAGCGCGTTACCACGAAAACTAGGCTCCACCTGCCCCGAACTAAACTCATTTCTTTGGTTAACATGAAGCCGGAAACGCGTTTTAGCTAAAGCCAGTAATCCAAAGGGGAAAATGAAGTGAAGAAAACTGACAACTACTCCAACACAGCTCGAGGAAAAGTAGGAACTGCTCAAAACTTCAGACAAAAGACTCTCAAACCACGGGTGGAACAACAAACAGGATCACTTCAAATGGCTACAAAGACTAGGAAAGTGAAAAACTCACGAAAGAAATGTTTGAATAGGTTAGCCATGTCCATTTTGGGCTCGCCGTCTCTCCCCCTCTCCGTTCGTCTCTTTCCCAGCCCCTGCTTTCTTCCCACTGCAGCTGTAGAGTTATTCCATGTGAACACCCAGAGAGCTGGGAGGGCTTCAGAGTAGGGCAGCCCACTCCTGGACCATGTGGTAAGGGCCTAGCCAATGAGAGTTCAGGATAGAGAGGCCTCCAGACAAGCTAAGGAAGGCAAACTATAGAGGCCTCATGGAGAGTGGAGGAGGACACAGGCAGAGAAGTCGGGGGGGGGGGGGGCTGAATTTGAAGATCCTACTTAGAAAGAAAAGAATTGAAAGAGGAGAACTATACGGAAGGGAAAGGAGTCATTTCCTCAGCATATACCAGCAGATGCTTATTTGTGGGAGAGGTTACAGAAACTAGGGGAAATAAAGAGGGATCTGTTGGCACGCAGCAACTGCTGAGTGACTCAGTGAGTGCTTAGTGTCACATGACTGCAGTTGTTTGTAGAGACACACTCATAACTTTACAACAAACCCAGGAAACATGAGTCCTCTACTTAGAAACGCACACGCACACACACACACACACACACACATACACACATACACACATACACACAGAGCAGAACACAGCCCTGTGCAGGCAGATCAAACTCTCACACATTCTTTCAAACGGTGACACTTCTCCACACCCAGAAACTGAAGGAGAGATCCATTTTTCCACCCACGTTAGCTCACAGAAGTGTGATCCTCCGGCTGACACACTTGCTCTCCCACAAACTAAACACAACCGCACTCAGCCAAGTCTTCAAATCGAATCATAGATCAAGAAAGAGGCAGGAATAAGGTTAAGCCTGGCATCAGATGTGAGCTGTGTGTGGGTCAGACATGCAGCTGAGCCATTTGACCAGTAGATGAAGGATAGGACAGGTGGGGAGGTGTTGCTATGAGGCTCCTGCCTATGGTTAATGGCAAGGCCTCCTCCCCACACACAAACAAATACTCAGTAAACGTTAACAGTCACTCAAATAAACCAACACACCTCAGGGGAAGACAGGATGGACACACTCACAGAGCAGCAGTTAAAGAAATTATGCAGGAGCAAGCCAGAACAAACACACAAATATATATATATATATATATATATATATATAAATAAACACACACACAGGAAGACACAGGAACAGGAAGACAATCCATGGCTCCGAGGCAGATAAGTGTTTTTCAAACTCTGCAGAGTGTGTGATACAGCTCTAAACTGATGACACACTTCTGGTGTGTTCTAAAAGAGGCCCTTATATAAAAGGAAAAGCCACTATCGGTCTGTCTTCCTCTGAGGGGTCTCCCCTGTCATGAGCACTTTATATTCACCACAACAGTAAGAGACAAAAAAAAGCAGGGGCACTACGGTCACTTTTTTTTTTCACCCACCAAACCAGTGGTGGTTGAACAGGCTCTGTTTACATCACCTTTGGGCTGCCTGACTAAATTTAGGACTAAAAAAAAAAAAAAAATGAGGTAAGAAGCTTTAAAGCACAGATTTAAATAAATGCTACTTTTAAACTTTGGGGAACTACATTATGAAAGGTTTAAAAATTAAGTAAAAAAAAAAAAACTTATTAGAATGACAAAACAGTGAAATGCAAAGCAATGCAACTGTGCTCCAGATGGGACACCAGCTCGGGCATACCAGCGGTCAACGCGTGCATCACAACATATCAGGATTATCCATCATTAAGACAAAAGAAGATATGACAAATGGCAGCCCTGACATATATATCATTCCTTAAAAATTGAGCTTTTACATTTTAGTTTGAATTTCTTTCTATTTGTTTTTTTATCCATTTTCATAGATAGACATGATGTCTTTTTTTTTTAATTAATCAATAATCATCGGAGATCAATAAGTAAGATTGCCTTACCAGAGTAAATGCTTCATGGCAAAACTCCTTACCTTATATCAGATAAGACAGTCAGTTTCTGAGGTCCTGGTCTATATGCGTAGTGAGAACAAACCTACTGCTTGCACCAAAATTAATCGGATATCAGCCTGAGACCCTCCTCCTGTGGTAGCTCTGACCTAGAAAAGCTAACCCTAAGATGATACCTCATCTTGATAGAGGTAAAAAATATATATATTCCGATTTGTGAGAAATACAAAGTTGTCAGACTACAGTCAAGGCCTTAAGAAGTATAAATATTTAGAGACATGTTATCTATGCAGCTTAACTGGAATATAATGAGATCGCCCGTAAAAATAAACGAGGTCACTGGGAGAGTTTAAGCTAACATGCTGCCTTTGTTGCTTCATAACCAAGCCACTGCAAAAATCTACACTTCAATAAAAATGATAATCGATTTTCTTTTTTTACCAAGCGTGTCTTTGAGATTCTTGACGATGGAAGCCTTCCTGGCGCTGTTCTTCCTCTCCACGTAGTTTGAAGGCACAAAGCCGGTTTTGTTGGTGGCATTTCGGACTCTCCACCAGGACTTTGAGTCGTCGAGCAGCCAGAGACGCTCATTCTTCTTGATATCCAGCTCCTGGTCCTGCTGGGCCATGTAGTCAAACTTGGCGATGACAATCACCTCTTCAGTCATCTTGCTGTGGATAAACTGAGGACAGAGAGAGTGGCAACATTACTACACTGCACTACAAATGATACTGAACAATTTTCAACTGAAATATTTTTTTCTGAGGCACAACAGACAGCGGCACAGCCTTTAAAACCCCTCTTTGATGTAGATTTCTACCACAAACTTGGATCTTTACACACTCCGCTCTCTGACAGCGCTCAGTGATGAAGCAGACGGGTAAATTTAGAAACGCTTCGCAGATGGATCGTCATACCTGTTCTGCATCAAAGCTGAGAACTTCAAAAGCTCTGGTGCTTCTGTTGACCCTGTAACAGAAATGAAGAAACAATGAACCAGAATTACAAATAATCTCCTCTCAAACTCTTCCCATAGACAGGACCACAATAATATTATATAACCAGCTGCATCCTTACATCTTATTCTATCTGTGTCACTAATCAGGCCAACACTTATCCAAATATACCGAAGCTAGGCTTGAATCCTGCTGAAACGCCAGCACCCATTTCCACAGTTTAGTCTCGGCCACGCAGAATTTCCCTCCAACGATTGTCTTTTTGAAACAACAGACTAATGACTTCTCTTTCCAGCCTTCCACAGCCACTGGACGGCTGTCAGAGCGCACGGCTAATCTTGAGGAACCTGCAGCCTTCACAGAATGTACACAGAAGATGATTTACTTTAAGGACCTGTCCAGCAATTGTCTCCTGTATTTGGCATCGAACGGGAGCCAGGAAGAGGGCACGGATTACAGCAATGGGGAGGTCAATAAAAAGGTCACTACGTAAAGGGGGGGGTTCTTTTTCTTACTGTGCCTTAACCGTGTTGGATGAGGTCTGAAATGCCCCGCTGTGCGGGCTCTACAGGGCCGAACTGCGTTGCACAGGGGGCAGCCCTGCATGGGCTCCCCGGGGGCCGTCTGAAATTATGATTTTGAAACACTGTGAGCCGCTGTGGAAGTTTGTCAACGCTCAACAATGAGCGCATTGACGACAGCTAGTCTTATGACCCGGGCGGCTCCCAGAGCAGCCAGCCCGCGCCGGGGCGCACCCGGCCGGTGCCCCGCTCAGCGCCCAGAAAGTGAGGCTCCGCTGGAGCGCCTGCTCCCGTGTCATGGGAGTGGATGAAGTTTCGCCTCACCCCCTTTAGGGACCAGACACTGACTCCTTTGATAGCGAGCTCTCAGTTTTCACTAGAAGTGTCTGCGTTCCAGTCACAGCTGGCCTTGAGATGGGCACAGAACCCCATCTCCAGCAAACATGAGGCGAGGAGGCCGCGCTGACATTCAGCACGATCAACCGGGAGGAAGATATTTCCTGGAGAAAAGGAAGAAGAAAAAAAAAAGAAAAAAAAAAAGGTCTGGATGTGTAAAAGAGGAGTTATTATTCAGTCGCTGTCACACCAAAGGCCAGAGCTAAGAGGTGTGGCCCAGATCCCCGAAAAACATCTGTAATTCAATCAACTCCACTCACATTAAAATGAAATTAAAAAGTTATGGGAGGGGTGAGAGGCATGATTTACCAAATAATGTCTGGGCGTGTACTGTGGTTTTTAATCCTGCGTGCTTCTTTTCCATCGCTGATTAAATTAATGAAGACTGGGAGACATTTAAGGGAGCGGCACACAAAAACAAAGGGCTGATTTACTCTCCTCGAGTGCCTCATTCACTCAGACAAAGGCAGCCATCCCTCCACTCCCCGGGCTGGGCGGGAAAGCCGTCTGCCAGAGACCGACACGAGAGTGCGTACGAGCTCCGTCTGCTTTTACAGCATCCCTCCCTTACTGTCATTTTTCCACTTTCTACTATTCCTAGCCCCGCATGTCAAAGTCATCAGTGCAGGAAATCCCCTCTCCGAGCCATCTCCCTTTTTCTGACAGAGCTCTGCATCCCAGCCTCCCCTCATCGAGCCGCCCCGCGCATAAGGAGACCGAGCGCTTAGCCCCCATTCCCACCGCAGTGAGATACGACGGTGCAGATGTGAGGGAGGATTAAAAACAAACAATAAAGAAGACAAAAAAGAAGAGGTTAGGTGACAGATGCTCTGAGCTAATCACGCAGCTGCAGACTTGAGCCAACGCCGTTCGCCTCAAAGCCCTAAACGCCAGGTCAGGCGGGTCAAACTGCTCAGACGGTGTCACATTTGAATCCACTGTGGATCTCCATTTGCCCCGCTGCCCGGCAGAATTAACCTCACAGTATGGCAGCACTTAACTGTTTATACTCTGACACATAAAACAATAAAAAGTTGTTGATTTTTTTTAAAACTGGCCCAAACATACATAAACTGCACAAACATTCATAGAAACACTTTTTTAATCCTTAATGGAATCAAACTGCAGATTTGCCAGAGGCTTACCTCTTCCTCTTTCAACCTGATTTGCCGCCAAAACTAGCATATAAATAAATACCGTTCAGATGTGTGCAAAAGGGTTTGTGTTCTCTCTGAGTAGGCAGCGACAGCTGAAGGCGGCGCTAACCTCTGAATTTATCATCAGAACTGCTCATTTCATTAAAAGGACCCACAACAAGCGAATGGGTGATCCATCTATTTATCACGATAGCGGGCTCATCAAAGTCATTTGACAGAAAAGGAGCTTCCTATGGTGTAGTCATGATGAACACCACCACGCCAGCTGTCTCATCTGTTTAAGGTTTTCATTTTGGTGCTTCCCAAAAGAAATGAAGGGATTTAAAAAGGGCCATATTTAATGCAACTTCTTTATCAACCTTTAGTAAAAACATATTCACAAGAATTAAAGGAATCTTTACCAATGCAATATTTTTGTACAGTCATTTAGTCACAAAATATCCCTTTTACCATGTCAGTGTCCCCCCCCCACCCCCCATTTACGCCATAAAACCATCCAAACGATAGCTCTGGTTAAATCACTCTCCCCATTTAGATGCATTAAAAGATATAAAGATTTTTAGAATAACTGCTCAGGTCCTGGGTTTTACCCATTTTTCCAGCAGCTTGGCTCTAAGCTTAAGCCTCTGATTGGCAGGTAACAGCCCAAACTGAGCTGTACAGTCATATGACACACGACAGAACGGCTGCACGCTGCAACTATGCCATTTCTTTTGTTAGTATGAAAAAACAGTGACTGTCTAGCAGTTCCCCACATCCTGCAGCCTACAGTTGCTGTCATAACCTCATCTGTCTCTGCAGAAAAAAAAAAGAAGACAAACATGAGCTGAGATCCAGTAAGAGAGCACGCCTAGTGGCCAATGTGGTAACCTGCTTTCACTGGAACCCTGCACACATGCAAGAGTGAAAGAAATTACAAGTGCATTCCGCATAAATCTCCCTAAAAGTCTTTAAACGTGTCTGTGACATGAGAAATTCTCTGTAAAGACAGACACAACAGATGCTCTTGGTACAGGCTAAACAAGCCTGAGAGAGCACAAATTGATCCTTTTCTCTCCTCGCTGTGGGAACGAATAGTGTACCACTGCTCAGCAGGATTGCTGAGGCACTGAGACAGCAACAGCATGAGCTCACAGAGGCAGACAGGGTAACCTAATCCCTGTGACAGCCTGCTAAAATCACAGGGCTCTGCTGCCTTCTGGAATGTGCTCTGTGCGCTCGCTGCTAACTCAGCCCCTCTGGCACGGCCGCGCTTCCACCAACTCGCAGCAAAACTTTCATTTCAGCCGCAGGGCTGTGGCCGGAGGACGGCGGCGGAGCAGCGAGTCGGCGCTCGTGCTCTTTTTCAGCAGCGAGCCGCACCGGCGCAAAGCCCATGAGACTGCATCCCATCCCCACCGTCCTGGATTCTCTCATAACAAAACGGCAGCCTAGCAGCAAAGGGTCATGGGAGACTTGGCAGTCCAGCTGTGAGACAGGAAGTGTGGACACAAGGGTGACCGGATGATGGGAAAGTGATGCAATCTGACAGAGTGCAGGCTTGACCCCAGAGTTCAGAGGAGTTCAGATAAATTATCTTTGCATTGATGCATGTAATGTATATCTAAATCTAAATAGACATGACATTTGGGCAGAGCTAAAGCTTTTGCCACCAGCGTTGGAGAAACTCATTCTACGATGGAAAACTATGCTGATCCTGGATCGTATCAAAATTTAATTAAGGGGCCTGCAGTGTTTTGGGCTAAGCATAGAAGCTACACTCGCAACTGTGTGAAAGCAGTTGGTTTTCCAGCCCTCGGGATCACCCTCAGCAGTTGGGAATAGCCTAAAATAGCCTGTGGCTCATGTCCTTTGAGAACAGCCAGAGATTTATTCTCATAGCAACAAGCGAGAGCAAAAGTTTCGAGCTTTCTTTAAGAGCATCTTCACATCAAACGGGCTCATCTGTGCACTCCAAACAGATCTGTGTGAGGCGTACACAAATGCCGCTGTGTGATATGTGTTGCTTGGCAGCTTACCCAGAAAATGTAAAGTCTCAGCCCAAACCTGGGATCACAGCTTTTACTACATAACGGTTTCTACCCCCGCAAGAGCAGAATTTATGAAGGTTTGGAAAACAGATGACAGAGCTAAATGCTTGAATCTAAACACATTGACCAGAAATATTCCCATACCGGCCCATCCAGAGAGGACAATCACACATACATTTAATGGAAACAGTATGCAATCACAAATGCTTCATGGTAATCCAACAACCAAAACTGCTTCCACTTCACACTTCATTACAGCCACATATTCTCCAGTCTGGCTGTTCCAGTCTGGTCCACACAGAAAGAGAGCAGACCATGTGGACAGTGAGGAGGTCCCATCTTATCCGAGATGTAGCCCAGCTATACAAGTTCCTCAAGCTCTCATCAGTGTAAGACCCTTTTGTCTATATAAGAAACCAATTTTATCTATTGACTTTAAAATTGTAGCTTAAAACGATCGATTTTCCCCTCCAATTTCAACAAAATATGAAAAGAATGGCCATTTTCTGTCCACCAAAATCTTCAACTTAATCAAAAGTTCACAAAATAGGAGAACCTTATATATATATAATTAGGTATTATATATATATATTATATATATATATATATATAAAATTGTATTATTATTATAATTATTATAGTATAGTTTGAAGTCAAGGAAAGATCTTGCACAAAGGCTTGTGTTTGTTGCATTCTGAGCCCAAAGAGAAACTAAATTAAATTCATTCATCCTAGAAGGAAAGTAACTTACTTTTGTTTCTGTTGTTAAAAATAATACAATAATTCAGCTTTTATAAAGGGAAACAAAACTGTACATGTCAGTCAAAATCAGAAACCATGTCTGAGGGTGGAAGAATAAAGAAGAACAACAGAAAGAGAAAGAAGGGGAAAGACGAAAAAAGGAAGACAAGAGAAAAGGGGAAATGGGATTAATATGCCACAATATCTTTGATTTGCAATCTCAGAAGAAATTTCATTGCAGAAGTTATTTTGAAAATTCCATTTTGTTGTCATTTCAGAAACTACCACTTAATGGCCAGCAGTGGTTTAATCATAGGTGTCTCTGTGATCTCCTCCATTCTCCAAAACGAGGAAGTTAATGATTGGCCGGTGGTGCTTTCCTGACACGTGTACCTTCGTGTATCCTGGCAACCACTGCATGACAAGTGATGACAGGATTGATGACCCACAATGTGAATCATGAAGCTGCTCCTAAACACATACAGAAGGGTAGGCAATTAAAGATATCAGATGTGTCAGGAGGCCGACATTATTTCTCAGATGCTCGACATTGTAAAGACCCAACACACAAACCAACACCACGGTCCCAGCAGGACTCTCAGCCAGTAAATAGTGACCGCAATGTCTAAAGCTTTTGTCACATACAAAAGACGCCACAGAACCATTCTTACTGTTAGGACCCCACTGGTAACTGGACATGACCAGACGAAGAAGCAGTTGCTCTTGTTTCTTTTCTCTTTAACGTCTGCTTCAGGTTAAAGCAACAACCACTGCAAAGAACGTCTGTTAGGGAAATCTGTACAACTTACATTTTGGGGGAGTATCTGAGATATTTGATCATGTTTGAGAATATGTAATAAAAACATTTGCACTTTCTATTACACTATATTGCCAAAAAGGACAATTTAAGAAATCCAAACCATAAAAAAAACACTACCCTTTCACAGTCTCCGTTGTGGGTGCTTAAAAAAAAAACACTCAGAAAAAAACATTAATATCAAGTACTCTAATGATCCATATCTACTAAAAAACCACAGAGGTTCATAAAACAACCAATGATTGCTACAGGTGGAAACATCAAATAGATCTGCTAAGACAAATGTGTTGCCATTCACAAAAAAACACCCCAATAAAAGAAATTTATGTCAGATTAATAAATAATCAATTAAAAACCACTGCAATGTATTAAGAAAAATGATAAAATACAAAAGCCTAAACATTATCTGGATAGAATAAATTGATATATGATATAACATTTAGCAAAAAATGATATACCATGTAACAAGTTGCAAACCATCCCTTAATAACACCACCCATTTAATCTGTGCAACATTTTAATGCTTTCATCAGTAACCAAGCAATGAGTTACAGGCACACTGTATTACTAAGAGGTGATCCAGCAGGAAAAGGACATATCTGTAAGAAAATATACGCTCCCTTTGGAACAAAACACCTTTCTGAAAGAAAAGATCTATTTTCTCAGACCCCACCTAGCTCAGCAGCCAACACAACCTGATCCAAACATGGAGGGTGCCAGTTGTAGTCTTTGGTGGTCTGCCAGCCAGCTCCAACTGTGGCCACATTCAAGCCGGTCTGGATTAAGGCCACATTGAAATTGTGTTTAAGATTACCTCAGACCCTCCGTGAGCCCTGGGGTATTTCTCAATGAATAATCCAGGTTTACGTGGTGGAAGGCCTCCTTACAGCGGGTTCCACAATGCTACAAACCCACTGCAGCTTGGTTTTGTGTGCTGCCACGCTATTTAAAAATAACAAAAGCATTAAGGAGACACTAAGAAACAAAAAGATTGTAGACAAATCTAAAAGGTGCACAGTACAACGAGCCTTCTAAAGAAAAAACTATGTTGCAGTCAAATTACCCGATGATGATCTGGTATGGCCCGTGTCACAAAGATCAAACTGATACATTAGTTTCCTTTAGTTTTCCTTCAACGCGTGAGAGTGCCGCCACAATAAGACTAAACAAGCCACTTGGGACTGAGATTCAAGACGGCCACATGTGGGAACTTGTGCAGGACACCTTGAGAACGGGAGGCATTCCTGATTGCACGCTGATGCCACAAATGTCTAAGCTCTGCGTACGTCAGGCTCTTCTAGATCTTTGATAGGAGACGGACAAGAAAGAAAAGCTTTTCTCCAGATATCATGACATCTCCAGCAGAAGGCCGAGGCAGCCTACACACATTTCAAACACAGAGGAGGCTGTCCTTCACTAATATGGGCTCATTTTGAAAACCACTCAGGATAACGCTTGTGCTCTCATGGACATTCACCTCGAGTATCCATTCCAGTGTTGGTGTGGAGTAAAGAGGAAAAAGTGGCGATTGATGGATCCAACAGGTCAGATCACTTATGAGAGAAAATTCTGATGCCTTCTAGAATTACAATTATGACATCATGTTATGTTTTTAAAAAATGCTTGTGAGGGGAGAGTGGCATTAAATGAAATCACAGTGGAAAGCAGCAGAAAACAGTGAAACATGGTAAGAGAGCTTAAAGCTTTTAGAATGGTTTCCTCTTGTTCATTTGGCCCAGATGATGTGACAACAAAACTACATTTCTAGGTAAGACTAAAGAGGAAGAAATGACGATGCTGTCATTCACTTAAAAAAACTAAGTTCATTTTCACAGAGTAAAGCTTCAGAAAAGCACTAGATGGGTAATTTACATGGCTCCCGGCCTGTTCGGCTGCTGTCACATTCATAGGCGGCGACTGTCTGGTGTACCTTTGAGAGCTGGGGTGTTGCTTGCTGCTCATCGTGTCAAATGAAAGTACGGTGGCGGATCAGGAGAGGAGGTCAAAGTTGATCCGCCACTGTCTAAACGCTCCCACTTCAAAAGGGCTTACCCCGAGCTGTCATTGCTCAGCTGATTTCACAATGCCAAGACGATAAGTGTTTGGACACCTTGATCTGCCTCCATTTGACATGTGCGGTTTCGAGGCAGTGAATCAGTGTGTGTGAGAAAGCAGCTTCTGTGAGCCAGAACAACGTCACCTTAAACAGCCCACAGACCAAAAACTGGTGCATTGTCATTCATGTCATCAACTTATTTCAATACGATTGATGGTTGGATAAGAAAAGCCAGCCAAAGCTCAGACTTAAAGCTTATTGGCCTATTGTCAGGAACACTGCAGCTGTGCCTGAAAAGTTGTTGATGACAGAAATCTATATTTGTGAGAAAGTGGCATGCCAAAACTGCTTTTGTTAGCCAAGGATTCACAGCAAGATTTGTCATAACACTTAGAGGCCTGTTGCTTAAGCTCTCACATCCTCATTTCTAACCTGCCAAACCCACTGGAAGAAAACCCCAAACCCTTATTAACTGAGATAGACACATCACTGAAACTGCACAGTTCTCATATCCAACAAGAGGAAGTGTTATCACTCACTCCAAACGATCAATGATAGCAAATATTTCAACCACATAGAGCTTTCACACTTCGAGGTTTTGCAAAAAAAGTTGGTAGAAAAGTCATGACACCAAACACCAAGAGCAGGGTTTGCGAGTGTGTTTGAAGCTGAGCACAGGAGTGCAAGAGCATAAATATTTGATGCACCGAAGGCACGAGGAAGAGCTAGAGATGGTGGTGTGCAGGTGATCTTGGTTTAAACGAGGAAGGCCTCTTTGGCTTAAACTGTGCAACAACAACAAAAAAACGCTAACATACATGAGTGATCATTAGAAAACGCACCAGACAAAAACAAAATAGAATCAAATAGGCTAAAGAGGAAATGAAAGACAGCTTGTGCAACGACTGAGATTTTTAATACAGAAAATGAGGAGGAAAAAGAGTAAAAATTGCCCACTCTCAACGTTATCCGAAACCATTTCATGGAGTGGATATCTGAGCTTTGATGAGGAAATGGTTCTGGCTATGATGAAATGCACAGTTGGTATTTTCCCCTCGGCCGTGTGGACAGATTTGGCTGCTACAGGCCACTGGTAACACATGGCACACTTTTATAAAATGAGATCATCACTTTATAGACATGAGGTTTTCTGCCATAAAATTATAAGAATGGGAGTCATCAGAAGGTGGCGGGAGAGTCAACGAGACCTGCATACAGGAAAAAAAAAAAACACGCCACCATCACTGCAACTATTGAGTTAAAGAGGAAACCTCAATCGTGAACACAAGCTCGCAGCTGACAGGTGCTACATTTTCCAATGAGACTGTTCAACGGGTATTTCTGTGTGTGGGATATAAAGCCAAATTGTGTGCCTTTAAGCATAAAACGCTGATAAGTGCGACTTCTCCAGTCTCCCTGTAAACTCTGGCTATCCTCCCCCTGACTCCCACAGAGAGGAGCTACAACAGGCCAAATGGCTCTCACCATTCTCCCTTCTCAGAAACCTTCAGAGCGACGACTAAAAGGGAAAAATCGCTCAATCGAGCAGCTGCTGGTGTTTGCAAATGTCACTCCCGTACAGCACTGAATTCAAACCAGGCTCTTCCCATCATCTTAATATCAGTCAAATAAATCGGGACGTTATAATGAGCCGATTGCCAAGACGTCCTGTAGAACAAGTTCTGTGAAAGGCCACACAAACATTAGTGCCAAGAGCTTGCCAACAATTACAGAGCCATAACGCCCATTGTACTAAGGCATGACATTTAGTCTGGTTTGGTTGTGTAAGGTAGAAACAATGTGAGGAGATAAACAGAGTGAGCAATTATCTTAAATCTAGCCCCAAAACATAAACGCTTTCATGCACTCGGTACATTGGTCTTCCTGTTACTGGTATTCCTTGGCACATGCAGCCACACATCTATTTTTTTTTCTTATTGACTTTTTGAGGGTTTTTTTAGTAAAAACTCACATAGTTAAGGCAACTTTGAAAAAGATGATCTGCTGCTGGCTTTTCAAACTATTTACGTCACTCCATCACAACTCCTGAGTTTTTGAATAGTGGATCATCCAAAACATGATGGACTCTTTCTAACCTGTAAATTGATATTTTCCACTTCCATTATCTAGCCTTACAATTTATTTCTCGAACTAGCCCAATTGTAAAAAAGAAAAAAAACGAACAAAAGAAAAAGGAATTGATTAGTTCTCATTTAAACTTACTATGGCTACTTAAAGACTATTTTAGGCATACAAAGAAAAGATTAACTTATGATTAGAAATGCCTCCTTATCTTTACTTTAATCAACCTGAGAGGAATCAGACCACATCATCCAAAAAGTTAAGCTTGAGTTGCTGGAGGTACATGATAAAATGGGGATAAATTAAACCTGAGATTTGAGGCAACGTTTTAAAGCCACTGCGACCTCTGATCTTTGTCCATCTCAGAGATAAACGTGTAAACGTTGAGCCCATCGCAAAATAAAGTCCACGAGTAACGCGGTTTTGCTCCACTTCTGACTACCTCTCATCTTATAACTTAAGCTTGACAGCGTGTCACGCCACCCAACTTGGCTAACGTTAACCGGGCTAAGGAAAAAAATACACTAAACCAATATTTCGACTACAATTACCTTAGACCGAGCCTAAAACAACAGCAGCCAGCTCTGTAACAGTATGTTAGTCGTGTTGGCAAGCCGACAGACTTTGTTATTTTTTTCCCTGGGTGAACGTTTAGCCGGTTAGCCTGCATGAGCTTCAACGCTGGACTGAAGAGGAGCCGGAGCTATCCTTTGGGAGAAACGTTCCAGCGGGTAGAGCCAGGATCAGCGGCAAGGCAGATTCACATCACGTCTTACCTGACTGCAGATGTCCACCTCTTCTTATCTCCCCAGGAACGCTATTTATGTATTGAAATGTTTCGTACAATATGCTCGCTAATGATATCCACAGCCCTAGCCGGCTAGCAGCCAGTTATTTTTCCCTATCCAAGAAGCTAGCCTAGCTGATTAGAGGCTGTGCCCCGTTGGAATTGCATTTCTGCATCAGACCATGTCAGTGCTCAACAGTACGGCTAAGCTAACTAGCTGCTGCTACACAAGCAGTTCAGGCAGCTCTGGCCCCGACCACTCACACGCGATTGGCTGTGGGAAAATTGCTCTCCATTGATTGGACGCTGTAACTGCCACTCAACCACACTGCAGCTGTTGATAGTTTGCGGTCACGTCAGGCATCATGATTTCTTTCTCTCTTGGTTAGAAAGACAACAACTAATGCTGTAAGATAAATGCTTATTGCGGCAGATTATTAGTATTACTTTGTAAATAGAAATTAGTTTAATTCCCTATGCATCACAATGGCCAGTAATAATTTAAAACCAGATTTCATGAGAAAAGTCTTAGACACAAAGTCTTTTGACCATTTTCAAACATTTTGTGATTTCGTAAAACTGATCTACTCTCTGTAAAGTTTCCATAATAATGAGAACGATATGATCATTTGTAAATCAATATATAGGTGATGTAAGAATATATACTTTTCAAAGAACATTTTATTTTACATTTTATTTGATAATAAATATTAGATGCAACTAATAGCAGTTTTAAAAAGTCCTCACTTCACCAAGTGTGACTTGGTAAAAATGTTTAGTTTTGTAAACAGAAGCTATCCTGCTGTTGGTGAGTAAAGTCTAAAACTCCATCATCTCCATCAATCAACATGAGGACTCACACCCATACAAATATTCAGACAATAACTTAATCAAAAAATTCCATTCAGGCCCAAAAATGATGATACGTACAAAAACATGCCTGTGGTGAGGAGAGTTACAGAGTAATTTGGAAGGTTGCACAGCCCGCTGCAGGATGCAATCTGTTTCCTGCTCAAACAGATGGGCCTCCCCTTCACGTTCATTTGCACCCAAAAACCCATCTCCAGACAATTCTGTATCAACTACAATGGAATTTAGTGTAAGTGAAAAAAAAGGAAGAAAAAAACCCCAACACATTTCACATCCTTTTTCTTTCGTTTGAAGTTTGAAAAACATACCTGTGTTTTTCTCTGAAAATGTGGCATGACTGAAGGCGCCGCTGAGGTAAATTGTAAAAAAGTTTATGGCTCTTTGTTTGTTAACCAATTTATTAGGTGTCCGTAACATCAGTGGTGGCAGATTTGATTTTGAGATGTCTTCTTTTTTCATTTTTTATGGACTAATGCAAACATGTTAACCTTTCCAATGGGAGTTCCTGTTTACATGAGGCATTAAGTGTTCACAATATCAGCAATAAATGTACAATTCTGTTTCTATTCTCTTTACTGAAAAAACTGTGGAAATTTGTACAGAAATTTGTGAAACTGCATAAATGAAAAAGGGGCTCACATTCACAACTTTTGTTTTCACTGTTGATTGAATCACAAAACATCTTTCAAAATCCACCACAAGAACTACTCTCTGTTGCTGACTTTTGCTGTAACAGATCATGAATGCCACCTGCTGGGCTGTCAGTGAAGCATGCCTGTCATGCTGCCATTTTTGACCGAACAGCATGTCCTCTTTCATCCACTTTTCTTCATCATTGTGTCTCTATGTCATGCCGTCACTGTCGCTTTGCCTGCAGGGGAAACCAGAGAGACTGTGATTCTCTGTTTGGTTTTCTAAAAGGAGAAAAGAGAAGTCACTGGTGAGCCAGCGACTTGACCGATACACAAAAAGCAGACGGCCTCGCGTTGTTAAAGGGGGCTTTAATTCAAAACAGTACACCTGCCTCTGGGCATTAGGTTGGCATGCATCTGAAAGCAAACAGAAGCCACATCCAAGAAGGTAATCACCATTGCTAGATATCAACTGACCAATGGGGCCAGGGCTGCACATTGAGCATGACTTGCTGGGACAGATAAGCATAATTCTATTCTTCATCCATAAATTTAGGAGCTACATAACCCTTTAGATTAAATGAGAAACTCTTGCAGACTTTACTCTGACCAGTCACATAAAGATCATCACAACCCATGATGGCACTTCTTTTATGTCATGGTTATATTCAATAAAATTGTGCTATCTTGCAAGAACACAAATAACATTTCGACCAGCTACGTTATTTATGTGGTTAGGTATTCATTTTTATTATTTTAATCATGGTATGTAGTATAAACAATTTTCTGGCTGACATTTACACATTTTGGCAGTGTGACAACAGTTTCAGAGTCAACATGGTCAATGGGATTTTACAAATTTTAGCATGGTAAAATCACACAACTTAGATTCATTCTTGCCTTTTTTTTCTCTTTTTGCTGATGTTTTTTTTATACCAGTTTGTGATTTTTTTAAATACATAAAACCAGTTTTACTTGACAGAAATGGCCACCGTATGACATTTGTCTTTTATTTCACACACAAATATTAAGACATTAGTTACACAACTGGCACTCTTTCAACAGCACAACAATACAAAACCCATCTGAAGAAGTTCCAGACATTCTTTGAAATACACAACCAAGCAACACTGTAAACAAATAGGACTGACATATCTAACTTCACTTAATAGGCGAGTCTAAGATCTCTTGGTAATCCTGGCGAAGTGCTCTGCTCACCCTGTACAGCTTGACTCCTGTCAGAGTAAACACACTGACCATGATGACCAGGCCCCCAATGACGTCGTACACAGACGGGACCATCCTCAGCACAATGAGCTGCAGAAACATGGCAACCACGATTTCGAGGTGCTGTACGGTGCTAACTAAGGCCGGATGAAACTTATTTAGAGCGTAGTAAACTCCGAGGAACGCCACCGTAGAGCAGATACAGATCCCAATTAAATAGCCCCAGGTCTCCCCGTCTAGAGGAATGATGGGCTCCTGCATGACGAACATGGTGGAGGCACCCCACACGGTGCCAGTCCAGCCGAAGGTAAAAAGTGCCGTCCACATACTGACGCGCTCCTTGATGGCTCTGTAAACAATCATAGAGAGAGCAGCGGTCAAGCCGGCCATCACTGTCATTGTGTAGCCAAAGGCCTCCTTCCAAAACCCCAGCCTGGACTTTTCCTCATCCGCTACATTTGGCACCATGACCAGGCACAAACCGAACACGCTTCCCACCACTGTGACCACATCGGTGTAGCCCAGCCGCTCATCCAACAGCAGAAAGGCCAGTATCGCACTGAAGACGGTGGTGGAGGCCCGCCACATGATGGTGCCATTGCTGGGGGGGACTATGGCAAAGGACGTGTAGGCGCAGGTGATTGAGATAACGTTGCAGACACCATAGAAGAAGAGACGGAGCCGGTAGCCCTTAGGGCCAAAGGGGGCCTCGTGGTAGTAGAAGACCACCAGGATGGACAGCACTTGAATCACAGAGCGGATGAAGAGAAGCTCGAGGGACGGAACCTTAGAGCGGTCTGCTGCCAGACGAGTAATCAGCGCCACACAACCGTGAGCCACCGCTGCCCCGAAAAGTGCCATCCAGGTCACTCTGGACGCCAGCACATTCGCCTCTCCAAAGCTTGCCAGCTGACCCTCGACCCCCTTGTCTCTTTGCACACTTGGTTGCTTTGGTTGGGTCTCCATCGTTCCGAAAAAAGTTCGTCCACCTTTGGTGTCCGACACCAGCCTTTTCCCGACATTTGCCTCCGCAAAGGCACCGAATTCCTCAAAAGAGGGCGCATCGTCATACCCTTCATCACCGGGCTGGGGGAAGTGGGTGGCGTATTTCACTGTCACTGTGTTCGGGTGAATCTTAACCCGCTTTTTTGATCCGTACTGGATCGAGGATGACGACGCATCCATGCTTTCTGGGCGTCAAATGGGGTAGTCTGAAAAACGAAGTGAAAATCATTAGAGGGCGATCAGGTGGTGAAATCATTTTGCCCATTTAGTCAAACAGTGAGGTCTCTCTGTATCCATCCCTCAAAGTCACAAACGTACAAGCAATATCAACCCCCTCCACCCCTACACACACATACATTTTTGTATGTATATATATGTATATGCATATAAATATATTATATTTATACATGTGTGTGTGTGCATGAAATATGAGCTCATATGAGTCAAGCAGCAAACACTCTGAGGATGATGCAGTCTGATGGGGATGAGATTACATAAGAGGAATTCACAGAGGAACTGATACATGAATGTGGGCCACTCATGAAATGAATGGAGTGGCGCTCCATAAATAAGCATCTCCTGAATAAAGGATCTTTAGAAACCATCTAGAGGATATATGGGCTCCTCAGGAGTCTGAATGATCGTATACTATTCGTACAATATTAGTTTTTAAATTAAAATGATGTAATGTTACCCCATGAGCCAATCAATCGATTAATTGAAATACCAGCGTGTACTCAGAACGAGCGTGTTTTTAAGTTTCTATCCCGATCTATATCCTCGATAACGCTCTTTTTTTTTTATAAAATCTTAAAACCCAGCATGAATCCAAACCACAAGGGGGCACATAGTTACTCCTGGTTGCCTTTTCCCCTACTCTAACCAACAGTCGCTCCTCCTTCATGAGATTTGCATCAATATCAAAGAAGTCCTAATGCTTAACGACTGTTGTATTCATGCTTAGACTCCAGATAATGACATGCAAATACACATTTGATTTCATAGTGGAAAGAACTATAAAACCACCGCTTTTTATGTGCCAAGTTAAGTACAAAGATGCCATATTTTCTCTTCAGTTTGAGAAGCTGCGAAAAGGGCTTATTTTCACCGATCTATTCAAACCAGGAGGAAGAAATAGCACGAATTGTGCTTTTCCTTTATGATAGAACATTGAATACAAATACACGATTTGTAATCGGAAAGTACAAAACCGAGTTTACTGGGTTGCAAGTGAAATAAAGACTCGTATTTTTCCTCTTTTTCTTTTTAGATGGTCTGAGATACATTTGCATTTAAACGTTAGTTGAGCAAAGCTCGTTAAAGCGTTTCAAAGTCTTACCTTTCGTTCTCTGAGTAGTTCCAACTGATGCATATAGCGGGGTTTGTGTCATAAAAGCAGATTTTGTCGGATTTCTGAATCCTCACATTTGCTGATCCGCAGCTGCAGCTTCCCCATCTTCCCCCTGGAGCGGAGCACCTCCTAAAGACGCGTCCAGCCTCTCTTTGCTCTCCGCGCTGTCGACGCTCTCTGCCTCTGCCTGTGCTGCTGGACCGAGGCGGAGGAGGGTGATGATGACTATGATTATGATGAAGAAGCTGGAGGAATGGGGGGGGGGGGGGGGGGGGGGGGGGGGCAGCAAATGTCGCTGTCACAATCAACGGTTCCTTCTTTTTTTTTTTCTTCTGCTCCCCACCTGAGGAAAACGGAGCAAAGGGTGTGCGTAAATCTGTCACCATTACAAGAGATCAGCGCCCTATAGCCTACTCTCTTCTTTGAAACAATTCCTGGTCATATACAATAATTAACACTGGGTTCCCATGTTTTGCTTTTTGTTTTTGGATCTATCGTTGTATGAAACCAGTCTCTAAGGGAAGTTATACATGTTTCCAATTTAAATGCATATTAGCATATTAAATGTATTCTGACTTGGCCTATATTCATTTGGAATTGACTATTTGAATCCCCAAGATCCTCCCTGAGATCCTCTCACAGGCTTCAAGACTGCCAGTTGTCAAAATGCATTGAAGAAAACAAAAGAGATCAATTTCATATGCAAAGTCCTGAGGAATAGTGTTGAAAAACTGCTGTCCAATTTGTCTGTCTAGAATATTTAATTTTTTCTTCGTTCAGATGAGACCTGATGACTGTGATGACCCGTTATTCTCAGTTCATGATGATACTGATATTTACTGACAGTTAGATGATGATAAAACATGTTAGCAGACTCTATTTGATCAATATGAATCGCATGGAAACAAAATCAACAAATATCTGTGCTATCTAGGGGAACTTTTTGAAAAATCAAAAACTAAATAGATTCATTTTCACCGGCTGGATTCTCTGCAGCTGCTAAAAAGAGAACCAGAGCATGGCTTATTTCATTGATTGGTTTTAAGACCAACTGCTCCACAGCACCAATGGAAGAAGCTGCAGGGGTTTCGCTTTTTACCTGTTTTGTTCCCTGCCTGCCTACTCCTGAGGATTGAAACTGTTCTTGAGTTGTGACAGTTACTGTGGCTGTATAGAAATCCAGTGGCACAGGAAAAAGTCAAGGCTCGAAAAAGATCTCAGTGAAAAATGCCTCACAGCAGGCTGAGCCGCGATGAGGCTCCAGCAGTGGATGAGGCAGGTCCTCTGATTTCAACAGCTTTCGGAAAATAAAAAGCAGGATGGTTTTCACCATTTGACCCATTTAGGAGATAGTTCTTTTCCATTCGAGGGCAACAAGTAAGCTTACAAAATAGTCAACAAAGCGAGCAAATTTTACTGATCACATTCACCAAAATGGCTTGACCCAAAAATTTTCACAAATTGTGGTTATTAGTAGAAAAAACAGAATTTTGATTTAAAAAAAGGAGACACCTTCTTTAGTTTGTGCGCTGATTGAAAAAATATTATATATAAATGATACAAAGTCTTAATCCAGAAATCTAGCTTTTTTTGTTTTGTTTTTCAGTGTTTGTTTTTTATCCTGAGGATTTTTTGAGGATGAAGCAAACTTAACAAATTAATTTAAGATCAGATCACAAATAGATAACAAGTGTGGGTGGTGAGAATATAAATTTAGTTCTTTTGTTAATTTTTTTTTTTTGTGGGTGAAGAAACCTTTATATTTCCTCAAAACAATGACGAACAAGCCAAAGTTTCCCAAAAATATCTACATCGGTTATCTACTTTTAAATGCAGAATACAAACATGTTCATACTGATTTTACCTTGTGCATCCCTTATTGAAAAGACGGTTGTTAATGGGTACTTTCTACAAAACGGTCAGTTTCTGTGAATCAAGCTGAGGGCTGCACTCCATGGTACACATTATCTCCAAGAACACACTGTTTATGTTCAGTCAGCTGTCTCAAAACACACTAGACCTCTCCAGCATGATGACATGGCTCCAGGAATAGCTCTTCCCTGCCGGCAAGCTTTTGGCAAATCTGCTTTCTGTGTATTCGCTGCAACCAAAATCAAACAGTGCCTCACACTTCCACGGATCATAAATAGGCCAGCAGCAGTTTGTTCCAAATGGAGTCGCTTAAATTATGTATGAGCTGTGGAGGTTTCCTCTCTGGATTTGACATTCCCCTCCACTTTGAATGAAAAATTAAGCCAGAGAACCTGTTTCTTTCAGTTGTTTCCAAAGGTGTGGAACATCTCAGTGAGGCATAATTAACCTTTCTTTCTTTAAGATGTGAACACGCAACTGCAAGATGCAGGGGTGACAAAAGCTAAAGCACGTAATGAGATGGTGGAACATGTCACAACTAATTACTGTACTGTAATTACAGATTTATATTAAGATTTGGCGTGAAAATACTTTGTCAAAGCTTAGTGTTAGGTATATGGGTTTCTTTTTTCTTTCTTGCAGTACATCATACAGTTTTCTTGTTAGGAACTCTATCTAAGCATTACTATGATTGTATGCCACTTACTGATTTAACATTTTCAGTTTTGTCAGGTACCAGAATTCTTGCTGTCTAAAAAAAGGGACTTATGAATCATACGACAAACCTGGCTGACACTGTAGACAAGGGTCACACCCTCCCACTTAGACTGCTAATGTTTCTCATTTAGCTGGAAAAAGATAAAGAGAAAATTTCATTTTGACTACATTAAAGTCCTTAAGGATGCTGGAGGAAGTATGTCTTTGTAGTCTCTCCCATCTTAATTGGGTGGGTAGCCTGTTATAAGTGCAGCTCTGCAGGGTCACAGATTGTTGTATTAAGAAGTGAATTAACCCATCATGACATCACCCTTAAGTCTGCAAAACTTTGCTTTTGGCATTAGGCTAAAAAAAGATATTTAGACAAGAAAGTAGAGAAGGGGAAATGATTCTTGAAACCTGAGCAGACAAATATTTGCATCCTGCAGGCTAAATATATGTTGGATTATGGAACGTTTTCTGAATGGCCAGCTCATTGGGGAACAGCAGTGCATAGGCGTCTTTTAAAATTTTGTACGGTTCTTTCTGTCTAAATATATATACAGTCTAAGATAGTCAGTTCATAAAAGTATCACCCTGAAATTCAAGAAAAGAATCTAAGAATACACCAGAGAAAGATGGCACATGGAGAAGTTAATTGACCATATGCCGCTTCCATTTTGACCTGACAGGACTTTGAAGATGATGTTTTCCTGAAGATTATTGCATTTTAATCTAATACAATACCTGCGGCTCATGGAGCTGACTGTCCATGCAACACATGCAGCACAATATTCACCCAACAGTTAATGATTCTGGAGAGAAGAAAAACTGTTCTCCAAACTCTTATCACATCATTTTTTGCACTTCACTGCTTAAATTTGTATCCACGGTATCCGATGATGAGACTCAACACATAATTCTTTTTAACTTTGCGAGGCTGTGATAATATCAGCTCGTCAGAGCAGCTGGGGCTGTGGGTAATTGGAGTCTGGAGCTGGTTTTCTGTGCGACTTAATTTGCCTTTGAGAACATTTCACAACTCATCAATCAGTTAAGAATCAGATGAATTTCTGGGATCATTTTTAAATCACTCTATTACAGTGGCCTGTCATTAGTTTCAGAACAATGTGAAAGAACCCAGCCCTGGGTGCTTTAGTTTAAGTACATGCTGTCCATAAACTACAGAATTTGAAAAAAAATTTCCAGCTCCTTTTTCTTTTTCACTGATTTCATCCTGTTAAGCATTTTAATGGGCAAT